TCAACCTCCTTGAATTGATCATTCTAATTATGCTTGGAGAAGTGTACAAGTTATGAAGCTCCTCATTATGCAGTTTTCTCCAACCTACCGTCACTTTATCCCCCTTCGGTCCAAATATTCACCTCAACACCCTGTTCTCAAACACCCTCAGTAGAGTAATCTCTTTTACCGGGAAGACGAACTTTCTGAATTATCAGCGCAGACTTGGAAATGTTTTTATATTACGAAAAGATTGTATTAAGGATTTGGGTGTGTATGTTGATTGCAAACTTCATTTTCATCGGCATGTCTTTCACATGTACCGAAATTACCAGGGCTGGTTCGCACAGTAACACTTTTTCCCCACCTTAGACAGTCTTCTGATGCTGTCGTTTGCTTTGGTGAGATCTAAACCCAAATATGCTTCTGTTGCCTGGAACTCTGTCACGATGACTGACTCCAGTAAACTTAAGAGCATACAAAGAAAATTTGCAGCCCTTTGCCAAAATATATTTCTTTTTTTCAAAGGGGCATGCGGTAGCGTAGTTGGTCGAGACACTGTGCTACAAGCCGAATGGTACGGGTTCGATTCCAAATTCCGGTTGACCTAATCCTCCCAGTCGCATTATGGCTCTGGGGTCGACTCAGCCTCTAACAGGAAGGAGTACCAGGAATCTTCCTGGGGTTAATAAGTGTCTGGCGTGTAAAGCTGACAACCCCACCGCCATCTGTGAGCCGATTGTCTAGAGAATGTGGGTACCTCGACACGTCTCTCAACCCTATAGACCTCCACGGCCGGTTGCAGGATCTTTACCTTACCTTATGTACGTGTAGTATCACTATGATAATTTATTGGAAAGATTAAACTTTTTGTCACTGTATAAAAGGCGTCGTCATTTTGATACTTTTTTCTTAATAAATGTTTTTTATTTGCACTAATTGTTGCCCATATGTCCTCGAAATATTCGGCTTTCGAGTTTTTACTCGACACATTCGTAAGTTCAGCGTGTTCACTCGGCCTTCCAGCCACTGCCCTTCAGGTAGACATGTTTCAATCTCAAATATAGTTTTTAAACTTACAGATATTTTTAGGAACTCTTGTTTCAGTGTTAAAGGTGTAAACTGAATCAGTTTTCTTTGTTTTTTGTTCTTATGTTGCTTCTTACTTCTTTGTCCTTTGTTGTCTTTGTGCTGGTGTTGTTTGTATTCGTGTTGACTCTGTAATTGACCATTGGCTGTTGAGCTCATCACGTAAATAAATAAAGAATTTATTATTATTATTATTATTATTGGATTTTTTTTTCAGATGACCCAATCCTTCCAGCCGCACTGTGGCCCTGGGGTCGACTCAGCCTCTAGCAGAAATGAGTACCAGGAATTAATTAAATAATTTTCCTGGGCAGGAAAGCGCGGCCGGCGCGTAAGGCTGACAACTTTACCGCCATCTGTGAGCCGATTGTCAAGATAATGTGAGACCCTCAACGTCTCACAACCCTATGGGCCNAGAGTATGCCATATGCAGTGAGCGGTAGTTCGTTAGTTACCATCACATACCGACAGATAAACAGACATAATTTATGCTTCATTTGGTTGTTTTGTATTTTGCAGAAAATTACCTCAACAAAAATTGCGATTTTTTCAAGATGTATTGCCACATGCCATTTGAAAACCCAAGATTAAATGGCGCTGGTGACGCTTCTACCTCATAATTTTGTGAGTTACTACCAGTGGCAGGAAATTAAAGAAAAGTGCGCCAATTGAAGGGCCTGTAATGGCATAATGTCTTTGTCATATTTCACTAAAATCGGTGAAATGATGAAAAAATTGTGGAAACAGACCTACAGACATACACAACTTGATGATTCATACACCCATGTTTACGTGAAGGGTGGAAGTTAGGCCGTAACTGAATTTTAAATAGTCTGGGTGGGTATTGACCAGTGGCCGGGTTTTGTGAACGCGGTAAGGGGCTTTCAGTTCCATAAGAAAAGGGGAAATTCCTTGGCTATTGACTTGTCAAGAACTGTTGTCAGTGGAGATTGTGTACTTTCCTCTACAGGATACGCCTGGATACACCAGGACACACGTGGAAGTAAATTCTGACTTATAACAACCCAGAGGACCAAATCCATGTACAGTGTAGAAGTTGTTTCTAGAATTATAGCTTACACTTTTAGTCCGATGACTGACCCAACGCATGTGGAAGAATGTGTTTCGACGTCAGCTATGCAATTGAAGTGTGACATGGTTTTCTTAATACTCTCAACTACCGACATTTTCCCCGGGTGTAAAGTGGCAGGTGCGTGAAGCTAATCACTCACTTTCATCTAATGCCGAGGTTAAGAATGATAGAGCTGTACGCTTTCACAGCATCGTGTTTACTTAATTAAGCCCAGGATAACTTCGCTTTTTACCGTTTTCTCTCAAGTCCACATCGGCAGCTTTCTCAGTTCTTGTGAACAATGTGCCGGACATGTAGTCTTACAGTCAGCTTCTTGTCCGTAACGCTTCAGGGGTCATTCCATGGGCTAAAAGGGAAAGAGAATTAACTGCACCTGTTCTTATTAATAAAATATAAAGTTTCCCTGTGCTTAGTTGAGTGCCACGTCACGAAGAGATGTTGGGTAGTCGAGATAGAGCTGTACGAGTCAGCTTCAAGTACTGGCCACCGTACGCCCAGCGAGTGTCCCGGTGCGCATTGAGTGGAGTAGTTGGGCCCGAGAGCCGCTAAGAATGCTCTGCCGGGAATCGAACCCAGGTTCTCCGGTCGTCTAGCCTATGACCTGCTTATTATACAGGGTTACTACAAATGATTCACTCCATTTCAAAACACTATATTTTCCAAAGTATTACACATACAAATATGATTGATGCATTAAAAGAACCGCAAACTCACCAAGTTTGCATCGTGATACGCTAGTTGGCAGCATGAGTGCAGTGCCTCACAAAATGGCGACGAAGCTGGAAAAGAGTTTCTGTGTGTTGGAATATGCGAGATGTTCGTCTGTTATTGCAGTGCAGTGTGTGCGTTCAGAGCAGAGCACAGAAAAGAACCGCAAACTCACCGAGTTTGCATCGTGATACACCAGTTGGCAGCATGAGTGCAGTGCCTCACAAATTGGTGACGAAGCTGGAAAAGAGTTTCTGTGTGTTGGAATATGCGAGATGTTCGTCTGTTATTGCAGTGCAGTGTGCATTCAGAGCAGAGCACAGAAAAGAACCACCATCTAGAGCATTCTGCGGTGGTATCGGCAGGTGAGTTTACGGTTCTTTTCATGTATCAATCATATTTGTATGTGTAATACTTTGGAAAATATAGTGTTTTGAAATAATTTGTAGTAACCCTATACTTTGCAAGAAGCGCATTCAATTAGCGCCACATGAAGCCATATCAGTGGCGTACATCATAATTCTCTCCCATCAGCAATTCCAACACTACAGCCTCTCAAATTGCAGAGGTAATAAGTAAGTAAGTAAGTAAAGGTATCCCTGTAGCAGGCCGTGGAGGCCTGTGGTGAGAGGTTGAGGCTCCCTCATTTTCTCGACAGTCGGCTCATAGATGGAGGTAAGACTGTCAGCCTTACGCGCCGGCCGCATCTTTACCTCCAGGAAGATTGCTGATACTCATTTCTGTTTGAGGCTGAGTCGACCCCAGGGCCATTGTGCGGCTGGAAGGATTAGCACAATTGGAAAAAAAAACCATTAACCTCTTTGAGACTTGAACCCGCGACCTTCCGGCTTGTAGCATAGTGCCTCAACCAACTACGCTACTCTTTACTTTTTACACAGAGGTAATGCGATCGAATGCCTGTACTCGAGGCCATCACAGCGGTGCACTTCTAAATCACTCCCATCAGTAATACCAACACCGCAGCCTCCCAAATTGCATTGTTCTTTTTTACTTCATTACGCATACATACTGAAGTTTTCTTTCTCCTTATCATACCAGGTACTCAAATTACACTGAAAGGAAAGTAGGCGATTAGTTCTTGCGAGAACTTCTTGTTATTGTTGAGTTACTGTGTGCTTGTTCGTATCCCAGTGGACTGAAGGTTGTTCTTTGTTCTGGGAGGATAGGTTCGTAAGAGAAAGTCCACACATTGGTACATCTCCTAATCGACTCCTAGTTAAATCTGGCCTTGTTCCATTTCTATCCACTATCCGTCAGTGTTGCCATGTTGTGTGCATTTCGCATTACTTCTCTATTAGACATTCTGATGCACAGTACACGTGAATACTCCTCTGTCATGTAACATGTTATACGTACAGAGGACCGGCTGTGTGTTTAACCGTGTTGCAAGTTGTGTTGTACCATATGTAATGAAGTAACGACGTTTCGGAGGCTGGGGTTTTCTTCATGTTGCTGTAAAGGATTTTGTATGTAGTCTGCTGTGCCCGTTAAATGAGGCAACTCATTGTCACTAACCTTACATTATTGATGTAGTGACGATGGTGATGCTGGTGGAACAAAATGGAATAGAATTAGATAAACTCTACATTATTACAGACTGGAAAGTCGCAGCCCGTACCTGATTATACTGACTTCCCACAATGCATTCTTTGCACCTTAGCATAATTTGAAAGAATGCGTTAATAATGTTAAGTACAACTGTAGTTTCTGTGGTTATTTTGGTTACTGTTATTATTGTTGTTACGGTGGTTACTGGATTTCAATGTTATCTCTCCCACCTCACAAATTCGCCCACAGTTTTTTAATGACTTGTAAGAAATTAAAAAAAGCACGAGGCGGCATTCAAAGGCATAACATTAATATCACATTTCATCAGATTCCGTCTGGCAATAAGCTCAAACGTCGATATGAAAAGGGGGAGACAGTTATGATCTCCTCTGTGCAGGACTTACGTAATTTCTATGCGCTTCATGCAAGGCGTGTTTAGTTACTGGAAATAAAACTTCAAGACTTGAGTGTTCTTTAAATATGTGTCGTTCTTTGAAAGACTCTAGAGTGAGCATAACAATCGTGAACTTTATCCTTAGTTTTTTTTTGTCTTCTGTTTTAGGATGTTTGGCTCCTACAAATAAATGGCAGAAGCGAAGTCCGTTCGAGACACTGTGAAACACATGCGGTCATCGTCTGTCAGCTAATTTGGGTAAGTTGAAATTATGGAAGTTACACAAATCTTAACCAGTTCGGCTTACCCTCTGCATTTCTGTAACCGAACCTGTTCTCTAAATCACTTATTGCTTATAGAAATGTAAGAAGTGTACTTATTGTAATTTAAACGACCTAGTGCATCTAAGTATGATTAATAGTTAATAATTGAGGTCTATAATCGCAACTACCAGACCACCATACCTAGTCTCAGTCTCCCAAACAATTCAAATTCTTGATTTCAGATAAAATTTTGGTTTTGTTCTTTTGTGCGTTTATATTGAGTGTGAAATTGGATATGAAGTTTTACAGTGCAATGTTGCACTTTTTTTTTCGTTTTTCAGTCTTTACATAAAGTGTGAACAGTAATTCTCTGCTAAAAAAATCCAGTACAACCCACGGCGATGATCACATATTAATAAAAATATATTTTATGAGCATTGCTTTCTTATACGTACAGTGTAAGTATTGTTAACCCAGAAGCCTAACAAATTCAAAGGAAAGAGCGAGATGTTTACGTACGGCAAGTTTTGAGGGTCCTATTACACACGTTGTTTTCCAGAAGAAAGCATTCTCACGTGTTTTTCATTTATCGTATTTCATTTTGGATTGGTTTCTTTTAAAATTACTGTTGAAGACGGGATTTAAAAATGATTTTGGAAGAATAAATGAGGTATTTCTGAACGTTCGAATTTCCGTTTTCTTTTTCCTGTTTAAATCTTCAGGTCTTAAAGCTAGAATCCTTTATTTCTGTAAGTGTAGAGAGGTGTTAGTTGCAGAGCTTTGTGTAGTGTCGTACCTGAGTTCTGTGTCGCTCATTTCGTAACTCTTGATCGCTTATGCATAGGTAAATGATTTTCTAAAGGAACAGACTATTATTTCATTTATTCTTCTTAGTGAGGTGAGATTGAGTCCACTTGGTACTGCGGCCACTATTGGCCTATTGTACGAGCCCCAGATGATAGGTGATGGTGATTGTGGAGCATTTGGTGGAATGAAGATTGGCAGGGGAAACCGAGGTACTCGGAGAAAACCTGCCCTAATACCACTTTGTCGACCACAAATCCCACCTGACCAGACCCGGACTCGAACCCGGGCCGCCGCGGTGGGAAGCCAGCGACTAACCGCATGAGCTATGGCGCGCCCAACGGAACCAACTAAGTACCTCGTCACCCTTTCACTTGAGGGCGCAAACAGATCCGATTCCGGAAAGTCCGTGTTCCTGTAAAATAGCAGACGGCGGTAAAAGAGTCCCGGAAGTCAGTAATTCGAAACGTTTTCCTCGTGTTATCTAATAACCGCCGAGTGTTTTGGTTGACGGTCGCTCGGTCGGTATAGTTCGCTTGCGGACTGAAATCACGGGAGTCTTTTGTTTTTGTTTTGTGTTTTGGTTGATGGTTATAGTGTTTTATAAAAAAAAGTAGGGTAACAGATAATTCAGTGTAGTCGCAATGCCGAAGATGGGACGGTGTAATCGTCTTCGAAGAATAATCCGGGTTGAAACTCCGTGTAGTCTGGTAGACGTTCACCGACGTTTTAGAGAAACGTTCTGCCTCCATTTTCAGGGTCAAAGAATATGCCAGGCCAGAAATCAGAAGGACGCAGGAGGCAAGCGGAACGAGTCGCTATCAATGCTTTTCACCGAAACGTCTTCACAGTGTTACATCCCAAACAAATAATGCACTTCATACGCACCGCTGTAAAAACCACAAATCGAATCGTGTATTTCTTTTGCAGTTTTACTAAGGAACCAAATGTATGATGTCCAGACATTGACGTTGTAGCTTCTGTATATTGTGATCCTGGTAATGGATGCAGCCTATCTCCTGCTAGTGGGTGTGGTTGTGTGTATGTACACATACACCACACCGTTCCTCTCCAATCCGGGTGTGAACGCTGCTTTGTCAGTCACGATATTTGGTTTCATGTATCCGAGAGTGCTTGAGTACGCACGGAAACAAATTGGGTAACCCTCACTAACACATCGTATTTTCAAGGGGACAGGACTGTGATGAATTCACTGCACATCTCCCATACTGTTGCAGATTTGTCGTCCTATTTGCACTTAGGTCTAGGTGTTCTCTCGGCCTCTTCCTTTCTTGGGAGATTTGAGGTTTTCATGGCGGTGACTATGAAGAATGCAGACTGCAGCCACTTGTTCACGCTGGTTCCTCGCTAGCGGATTTTTATATGGAGACGGTACGTTCCTCCGAAACGTCGGTTTACACAATATCTACACGGTGCCACATCCCAGAAAGCTGCAGTCTTGTTCCGAGAGACGTGTAAAACTTGAATTTGAAGTTCTTACAGCGGTGACTAAGGAAAGTGCTATATTGTAGGACGTAACGCCTTGTATAATGAAGAAGTTGACCTCGACGAATGTTAACAACGGCCGCTTTTCCCGTAACCTCTATTTGCCATAAACATTCATCTTGCCGCCCGATTTTGTTTCTCCTCATTACGTGACCCTTGCTGCTGGCGATGACTGTCAGTCCCACGGGCATATTCCTGCTGCCAGGTCTTACTCGAGAAAACATTGTCCTTTGCCATAAACATTCATCTTGCCGCCCGATTTTGTTTCTCCTCATTACGTGACCCTTGCTGCTGGCGATGACTGTCAGTCCCACGGGCATATTCCTGCTGCCAGGTCTTACTCGAGAAAACATTGTCCTTTGCCATAAACATTCATCTTGCCGCCCGATTTTGTTTCTCCTCATTACGTGACCCTTGCTGCTGGCGATGACTGTCAGTCCCACGGGCATATTCCTGCTGCCAGGTCTTACTCGAGAAAACATTGTCCTTTTGGATTTCCTCTCGTAACTGTCAAAATAGTTTTGTAGATGTCCATGATCGTCAGTTCCGAGCAATCAGGTATACTGAATATGCGCCGTAAATGGTTCCCCAGTTACATGTGGCCAGTGCCTTGCGTGTGACGAGTTGTCAGTTCGGTTGTAGTACGTACAAGGGATTTGTTAGTGACTCATGGTTGACTGATATGATTCTTGCATTTAACGACTGCGGGCAGGTATGGTCATGTGAGATAGGAAGATGACCATAAATACTCAGCGGGTAAGAACACTGGAATAACTTGGTTGTGGCCTTTCGAAGTACCAACTCGACATTGGGTATGAGTATGAGGAGTGAGCCATAAAAACCGGTCCTCACACTGCGACCTTCAATGATCTATTGTGCTTCCCCTTTGGATTAACCCTTTATTAATCCTACACTTCGAATGAAATGTAGGACTTTATTTATGGGGCGTCATAAAAGTCACTTGGTTCCATGAAAAATTGTCCAAGGTGGCGATATCTTAGGTAATCTATAGCCTCACAATCACATAGGATGTGTGTGGTTGATTCGTCTTCTTGTAGGCACCTTTCACACAAGTTGGGTCGTCAACTCGTCACTTCTCTGGATAATGCTTTACCTGCTTCACCCAACTTGACTTAATCAAACAGTAATAAGTGAAGAGTATAAATAGGGTAATGCAACTCCTGATCTGTAAGTTTCTCCAGCTGTTTCTTTCGTACCTGTAAGGCCCAAATTTATTGCGTGGTATGTTTGTTTCTTTCGCCTACATAGACCAAAGAAAATATTGTGAATATATAATGCTATGTTTTACGTTTGTGTACCCGACAGACTAATGAAAGGGTAAATTTATCTACGCTAAAGCACCACAACACGAAGACGTGAGGGAAGCAGAGTAAAGCGCCGAACGTTGGGAACTCACGTACACACGTCCTCAGTTCCGGATGGCCCCCAGAGCCGGTCTGGACCCTGGCGGAAAAAAATGAATACTTCATATTCTTGTAATCTAACCACGACCATCCAACCGGTGGGCAGTCACTGCACTTTTGAGTCATTGCTTGAGCTGTCTCGGCTTATCCTCAGATGTGTACGTTATTTTAATACAGCAATCGGTATAGCGACTAGCTACGGCCTGGAGGGCCAAGAGGTTCTAGTTCGAGTCATGGTAGGGGCAAGATTTTTCTCTTCTCCATATCGTCCGGCCCATCCGGTGGGTAACTGGGGCCCTTTCTCCGCAAGTAAACCTGTTGGGGGGCGAAGCTGACCGCTCACCTCCAACTAGTGCCGAGGTCAAGAATACGTGAATCTATACATCTACTCCCCCATACGTCTTCATGACGTAGTGCATAATTACTTAAGCATTTGGCCAGGTATGGACTAGTTAAGCAATGTTTTGTGAATCTGGGCAAACTGTTCGCTGTTAGGAAACACGTGAATTTAGTAGGACTAAATCTGAATGCGGCATGTACTGTCTTCGCTCGCTTGGAAACCGAGATCGTGGGTTCGAATCCCACTCAGGGCATGGATGTTTAGTTTGTGTGTGCGTTTTTCTGTGTTTGTGTACAGGTAGAGGCCTTGCGACGAGCTGATCACCCGCCCAAGGAGTCCTACCGAATGTGTAAGATCTAGAAAAACCTAAGTGAATGGAGAAGTTCATGGAAGTAGGCCTAGGCCCACTGGGGCTGTAGTGCCAAGGAAAACAATCTGAATGTTTTGCCCCACCAGCTTCTACTTGAATTCAGTTTTAATAGCGAGGAGAGCGAGTTTTATAGAAAAGGAAGAAAATGGGGCATACCTCAAAATCTACCGAAATATATAGACTTATATTCGATTCGGCTTGCGATATGGAGAAATTCTTAACAGAGCAAAGATCCAGTGAGTATTTAACCTCTGAAGCATGGATTATAACATGTAACTTATTCGCGGAAGTTAGAATCTTTTTGTGTTATAGCCAGCCTCAGGTTATCGTCTAATTTTTTCTGCTCTTCGGAACTGTACGATTGCCCATTGCTCATAATGCGTGTTATCTTTACGCCCGCATGTGGTATAAATTGTTACTCCCCGTGCCTCTGCTGCCTCCTATATCATGCAGGGATGTAAACACAATGTGCTATTTCTAGCTGCACATCGCGTTATTTTAGGTAAGCATTGGCACCACTCTGTTGACGAAGTTTTCGAATGGCTAATATG